GTCAGAGTAACACTGTGCTCCATAGGGTTTTCAAGGCTGTGACCTTTCAGAAGCAGATAGCCAGGCCTGTCTTCTGAAGCACCTCTGGGTGAGTTCAAACTGCCAACTTTTTGGCCAGCGGTCAAGCCCTTTACCGTTTGCACCACCCAAGGACTCTTTTGGTCAACTACTGTTGCTAATTAAAGTTCTTAAGCACCAGTCCTCTCTTTTATTCCTCCCCTTTCTATTCTCATTTGCTGATCCTTTCATTTAGGTCTTCAACATTTTTCACCAAAGTTATCTTAATGGTTTTCTAACAGGTTCCTCTGACTCCAATCTGTCCATACATCACTTTATTCCAAATAACCAAAAAAACCAAACTGGTTACCATCGATTCCAATTCATGGTGACTCCACCTGTGTCAGAGTAAAACTGTGCTCAACAGGGTTTTCAATGGCTGATTGCCAAACCTTTCTTTCAAGGTGCCCCTAGGTGGACTCAAACCTCCAATCTTTTGGTTAGCAGCCAAGCACTTAACCGTCTGCACCACCCAGGGACTCCCATCCCAAATAACAACAACAAAAAAAAAAAAAAAGCAAACCTGTTGCCGTCAAGTCAATTCCAACTCATAGTAACCCTACAGGACAGAGCAGAACTGCCCCATAGGGTTTCTAAGGAGCGGCTGGTGGATTCAAACTGCTGACCTCTTAACCACTGCACCACCAGAGCTCCATCCCAAATAAAGAGCCTCCTTAATGATTTTCTAATGCATAAAGACTGAGCATGTCAGTTTCACTTCTTGAAATTTGACAATGAAAATAAAATCTAAACTCCACAGCACAGCGTAAGACCCTTCCTAACTTCCTTCCTCTTAAACTCTGAGTTCCATCCAATCTGAACTACTTGCAATTTCCCCAACACACTTTGCCTGACATGCTGTTCCCTCTATCTGCGGAATCTTTTCCCCATTCATCACAGGTAACTCCTAACCATCTTTCAAGGTTCAATCGCACTTGATTATAATTGTTTTACTCAATTATCTCCCCCACCCCAGATTATAAACAACTTGCAAAAAAGGTCTGTGCTTTTGATCGCCTTACTGCTAGTACCTGGAACAGCTTGATGAATGTATATTTGTTAATTCCATAAATGTGTACTGAATGCCTACGTGCCAGCCCACTGCTAGGTTCTAGTTTGCACAAATGAATAAGAACAACGTTTGATCAAACAAACAATGAAAAAACCCGCACAGTTTGGAGTAGAAGAAAGATATGAAAGAAGAATCAAAAGAAGAAACTAAAGCCAGAGTCAGATGGGGGGTAAAATCAGTGTAATAAAATGTAAGTACTTGCAAACAGAAGGACAATTGCAGTTTCTAAGAAACAACAATATATACTGCCTAATTCTTTGCTATCTTTTTTTTTTTTTTTTTACAATAACTCAAATCTGTCAGAGAAATGAAAAAAGAGCTGAAGACAAGATCAATTCTTTATCAGGAAGGTGAATAAATACAACACTAAATGACCATATCATAGCAATCACAGAATGTAAAAATTTTCAAGAACTCTTGCAAAATTCACTGAAAGCTCTGGTTAAAGGAAAAAAATAGTATTTCATTTTAGCTACAGCATGTGTAGATTTAAAAGTACAATACAGTAGCTGATCAAGTTGTTGTTGTTGTTAGGTGCCAATGAGTCGGTTCCAACTCCTAGCAACCCTATGTACAATAGAACAAACACTGCCCGGTTCTGTGCCATCCTCACAATCGTTGTTATGCTTAAGTCCATTGTTGCAGCCATTGTGTTAATCCATCTCATTGAGGGTCTTCCTCTTTTTTGCTGGCCCTCTGCTTTACCAAGCATGATGTCCTTCTCCAGGGACTGACCCCTCCTGACAACATGTCCAAGGTATGTGAGACATAATCTTGCCATCCTTGCTTCTAAGGAGCATTCTGGTTGTACTTATTCCAAGACAGATTTGTTTGTTCTTTTGGCAGTCCATGGTATTTTCAATATTCTTTGCTAACACCACAATTCGAAGGCGTCAATTCTCCTTCAGTCTTCTTTATTCATCGTCCAGCTTTCACATGCATATGAGGTGACTGAAAACACCATGGCTTGGGTCAGGCGCACCTTAGTCTTCAAGTAGACATCTTTGCTTTTCAACACTTCGAAGAGGTCTTTTGTAGCAGATTTGCCCAATACAATGCGTCTTTTGATTTCCTGACTGCTGCTTCCATGGGTATTGGTTGTGGATCCCAGTAAAACGAAAACTTTGACAACTTCAATCTTTTCTTCATTTATCATAATGTTGCCTATTGGTCCAGTTGTGAGGATTTTTGTTTTCTTCATGTTGAGGTGTAATCCATACTGAAGGCTGTGGTCTTTGATCTTTATCAATAAGTGTTTCAAGTCCTCTTCACTTTCAGCAAGCAAGGTTATATCATCTGCATAACACAGATTGTTAATCAGTCTTCCTCCAATCCTGACGCTCTGTTCTTCTTTATATAGTCCAGCTTCTCAGATTATTTGTCAGCATACAGATTGAACAGGTATGGTGAAAGAATACAACCCCACATGTCTGTCAGTTTGTCATACTGTGGGGGCTTGCATGTTGCTGTGATGCTGGAAGCTATGCCACCAGGATTCAAATACCAGCAGGGTCACCCATGGTGGACAGGTTTCAGCTGAGCTTCCAGACTAAGACAGACTAGGAAGAAGGACCCGGCAGTCTACTTCTGAAAAGATCTAGCCAATAAAACTTCATGAATAGCAGCAGAACATTGTTTGATATAGTGCCAGGAGACGAGCCCCTCGGCTGGAAGGCACTCCAAAGACGACTGGGGAAGAGCTGCCTCTTCAAAGTAGAGTCAACCTTAATGACGTGGATGGAGTCAAGCTTTCATGACCTTCATTTGCTGATGTGGCACGACTCAAAATAAGAAACAGCTGCAAACATCCATTAATAATCGGAACATGGAATTACGAAGTATGAGTCTAGGAAAATTGGAAGTCGTCAAAAAGGAAATGGAACACATACACATTGATATCCTAGGCATTAGTGAGCTGAAATGGACTGGTATAGGCCATTCTGAATAGGACAATCATATGGTCTGCTATGCCGGGAACGACAACTTGAAGACGAATGGCATTGCACTCTTCGTCGAAAAGAACATTTCAAGATCTATCCTGAAGTACAACACTGTCAGTGATAGGATAATAGCCATACGCCTACAAGGAAGTCCAGTTAATACGACTATTATTCAAATTTATGCACCAACCACTAAGGTCAAAGATGAAGAAATTAAAGATTTTTACCAACTTCTGCAGTCTGAAATTGACCGAACATGCAGTCAGGATGCATTGATAATTACTGGAGATTGGAATGCAAAAGTTGGAAACAAAGAAGAATTGGTAGCTGGTGATAGAAACAATGCTCGAGATCGCATGATAGAATTTTGTAAGACCAATGACTTTTTCATTGCAAATTTTTTTTTCACCAAAATAAATGGCGACTATACATGTGTACCTCATCATATGGAATACACAGGAATCAAATCGACAACATCTGTGGGAAGAGAGAACGGAAAAGCTCAGTGTCAACAGTCAGAACAAAGCCAGGGGCTGACCGCGGAACAGACCATCAATTGCTCATATGCATGTTCAAGTGGAAACTGAAGAAAATTAGAACAAGTCCACGAGAGCCAAAGTACGACCTTGAGTATATCCCACCTGAATTTAGAGACCATCTCAAGAATAGATTTGACACATTGAACACTAATGACAGAAGACTAGACGAGTTGTGGAATGACAACAAGAACATCATACATGAAGAAAGCAACAGGTCATTAAAAAGACAGGAAGGAAAGAAAAGACCAAAATGGATGTCAGAAGAGATGCTGAAACTTGCTCTTGAATGTCAAATAGCTAAAGTGAAAGGAAGAAATATTGAAGTAAAAGAGATGAACGAAGATTTCAAAAGGCAGCTGGAGAAGACAGTGAAGTATTATGATGACATGTGCAAAGACCTGGAAATGGAAATCCAAAAGGGAAGAACACACTCAACATTTCTCAAGCTGAAGGAACTGAAGAAAAAAATTCAAGCCTCAAGTTCCGATACTGAAGGATTCTACCGGGAAAATATTAAACAACTCAGGAAGCATCAAAAGAAGATGGAAGGAATACACAGAGTCACTATACCAAAAAGAATTGGTCGATGTTCAACCATTTCAAGAGGTACCATATGAGCAGGAACCGACAGTAATGAAGGAAGAAGTCCAAGTTGCACTGAAGGCATTGGAAAAAAAGAAGGCTCCAGGAATTGACAGAACACCAGTTAAGATGTTTCCACAAACGGATGCAGCGTTGAAGTGCTCACTTGTCTATGCCAAGAAATTTGGAAGACAGCTACCTGGCCAACCAACTGGAAGAGATCCATATTTATGCTTATTCCCAAGAAAAGTGATCCCATCGAATGCGGAAATTATCGAACAATATCATTAATATCACATGCAAGTAAAATTTTGCTGAAGATCATTCAAAAGCAGCTGCAGCAGTATACTGACAGGGAACTGACAGAAATTTAAGCTGGATTCGGAAGAGTACGTGGAACCAGGGATATCATAACTGACGTCAGATGGATCCTGGCTGAAAGCAAAGAATACCAGAAAGATATTCATCTGTGTTTTATTGACTATGCGAAGGCATTTGACTGTGTGGATCATAACAAATTACGGATAACATTTCAAAAAATGGGCATTTCAGAACACTGAATTGTGTTCATGAGGAACCTGTATATAGATCAAGAGGCAGCTGTTCGAACAGAACAAGGGGATACTTTGTGGTTTAAAGTCAGAAAAGATGTGCGTCAGGGTTGTATCCTTTCACCATACCTATTCAATCTGTACAGGTGATCGTACTGGGTGTTCATTTCCCCATACAGAACACTACTTCAGAAGTTTCTTAACGCAAAGAATGCTACGTGTTCTAGCGGGAATAGAAAAATAGAAAAATAGAACTTACTGTCCATGAGGATACCAACGGTGCTTAGTGGTAAAGAACATTTTGCTAAGTTGTTCTATCATGGGTCCTTGCTCAAGGGGCTCATCTTTCACTTCTAATCTGGTTTTCAGCACTTGATCATGTGTGTCTTCATTATTATGCACAGGATCTGGGTGAGGGATAGGCTACAAAACAATCAGTAATAAACAGCATCAGAATGTAGTAAGTTCACCAGCATTTGATTGCATTTGCAATAAAACAAGTACCACACTCAGTAATTCATTATAGGTGGGTAAAGAAATTATCGGAACAGAATTTCATGTAGTTGCATTATTCATTTAAAAAATCAGAAACATTTTTCTTCTCACAACAAATTTTTGTATTTTTTTCCAATGATAAATTTCTTAATACTTTAGTTCTTTTTTCCCAAATACTAAAGTACTTATTACTTTAGTTTTTATTTCCCAAAAGTATAAATTGTATCCATTATTATTATTTAACTTAAACGTTCACAATTTCTCCCTTGTATATTATAAGGTAGACACAATGAAAAACCTTTTGCAAATGACATTACTCATATCCAATAGAGGCAGGAATAATTTCAATGTTTTCATTTCAGGTGACTGAAATGCCATCAAATGATGGTTTATAGTAGCTTGAGTATTTAGTTTTTCCCCTAAACAGGCTGGTTACTAAAAATCGAACCTCTTCCCCAACACACCTGAGTGATACAACATATTCCTATCAGTAAGAGTGGCGCACTAAAGTCTTTAAGAGTCACTATCTTGGAGGGTCAGGTTGCCTATATTTTAAATATTAACTGACAGTAATGTCTGTAACATAACCATAAGAATGTAACATTGCCTTGCTTTCAGAATTCCATACATATGTATTACAATACAGTGAAAATCTGAATTAACAACCAAATTAACAATCAGAAACAGTTCAAATATAAAAAAAAATTCTTCTGTTTACACTCATACACTTATTATTGACACTACTAGATTCTACCACTGTATTAAGTGTTATAACATATAAGGTCTCTACCTCAAGGAACCTACAAACTATGGATAAGGCATGACTTATATCTAGCTCATGTAAATAAAATAATAAGACCTCTTTAAAAGGCAATAGATAACTATATGAAAGTGACACAATTGACAAGTACTACACAAATGCAAAGTAACAAAGATATCAGCAAGAAGCAGAAAGGGAGGAAAGTCAAAGCCTTGTCACAGAGAGCACAATGTAGTCTATGAGGGCGAACAAACATTAGCAGTAAAGGAATATAAGCAAGAATATACAAGATGTCATTTTTTAAAAAACGGATCAGAGAAACCACATTATGAAAGTCCTTCAAAGCTAGACTTAGAAGTAACAAGTAGACATAAACAGAAATAAGGAACCACTTAGTGAGGGAGGAAATAAGGAGTATAATGAAGAGGTTAAGAACCTGAGCTTTGGCCTCTGCTTCCACCACTTACTAGCTCTGTGACCTTGGGCAAGTTAGCCTCTTAGGTTTCCTTTCTGTAAAATCAGAGGAGTAATACCTACCTCATGTTGTTGTTGGGTGCCGTCGAGTCGATTCTGACTCACGGTGATCCCATGTGACAGAGTAGAACTGCACCATAGGGTTTTCTAGGCTGTAACATTTACAGAAGCAGATCACCAGGTCTTTCGCCCACAGAGCTACTGGGTGGCTTTGAACTGTCAACTTTTTGGTTCAAAGCTGAGCAGTTAACTGTTGTGCCACCAGGGCTCCTTACCCTACCTCATAAAGGTTTGATAAAGATTAAGCGTAATTAAGCGTAATTAAGTCTCAAAGTTCATTAAATGGGGAAAAGACAGTCTCTTCAACATATGGTACCGACAAAACTGGATGTCCATCTGTAAAAAAATGAAACAGGACCCATATCTCACACCATATACAGTAACTAATTCAAAATGCATCCAAGACCTAAATATAAAACCTAAAACTATAAAGATCATGCAAGAAAAATTAGGGACAATGCTAAGGGCACTAATATATGGCATAAATAAGATACAAACCATAACTAACAGTGTACAAGCACCAGAAGGTAAACTAGATAACTAGTTCAAACACTTACATTCACCAAAAGACTTCACCAAAGGAGTAAAAAGAGAACCTACAGACTGGGAAAAAAAAATTAGCGATGACGTATCTGACAAGGCTCTAATCTCTAAAATCTACAAGATACTGCAACACCTCAACAACAAAAAGACAAATAATCCAATTAAAAAATGAGCAAAGGATATGAACAGACACTTCACCAAATACATTCAGGCGGCTAACAGACACATAAGGATATGCTCGTGATCACTAGCCATTAGAGAAATGCAAATCAAAACTACCATGAGATACCATCTCACTCCAACATTACTAGCACTAATTAAAAAAAAAAAACAAAACAGAAAATAACAAATATTGGAGAGGCTGCGGGGAGATTGGAACTCATGCACTGCTGATGGAAATACAAAACAGGACAACCATTTTGGAAAACGATATGGCACTTCCTTAAAAAGCTAGCAATAGAAAGCCCGTATCGATCCAGCAATTCCACTCCTAGGAATATATCCTAGAGAAATAAGAGACATCACAAGAATAGAGATATGCACATCCATGTTTACTGCAGCATTATTCACAATAATGAAAAGATGAAAACAATCTAAGTGCCCATCAACAGATGAATAGATAAACTATAGTACACACACAATGGAATACTACTCAATGATAAAGAACAATGAGGAATCTGTGAAACATCTCACACCATGGATGAATCTGGAGGGCACTGTGTTGAGTGAAAAAAGCCAATCACAGAAGGACAAATACTGTATGAGACCACTATTATAAAAACTCAAGAAAAGGTTTGCACGCAGAAAGAAACAATCTTTGATGGTTACGAGGGAGGAGAGCGTTGGGGAGGGGAAATCATTAACTAGATAGTAGAAAAGTGTTAACTTTGGTGAAGGAAAAGACAGTGCACAATACAGGGGAAGTCAGCACAACTTGACCAAGGCAAAGCCATAGAAGCTTCATAGGCACATCCAAACACCTTGAGGGATTGGCCACTGAGGGCTGCAGACCATGGTTGCAGGGGTCATCTAGGTCAATGGGCATAACAAAGTTCATAAAGAAAATGTTCTACATTCAACTTTGGTGAGTAGCACCTGGGGTCTTAAAAGCTTGCGAGCGGTCATCTAAGATACATCTACTGGTTCCGTCCCCTCTGGAGCAAAGGAGAATGAAGAAAACCAAAGACACAAGGGAAGTATTAGTCCAAAGGCCTAAAGGACGACATGAACCACAGCCTTCACCGCCTGAGCCCAGAAGAACTAGATGGTGTCCAGCTACCATCACCAACCTCTCTGACAGGGATCACAATAGAGGGTCCCAGACAGAGCAGGAGAAAAATGTAGAAAAAAATTCAAATTCACAAAAAAAAAAAAAAGACCAGACTTACTGGTCTGACAGAGACTGGCCCCCAGACATCTTTTAACTCAGAACTGAGGCTACTCCCAAAGTTCACCCTTCAGCTAAAGATTAGACAGGTCTATAAAACAAACAGTAACACACGTGAGGAACGTGCTTCCTAGTTCAATCATGTATACCAGACCAAAAGGGCAACAACTGCCCAAAAGCAATGACAAGAAGGCAGGAAGGGACAGGAAAAATGGATGGATGGAAACGGGGAATTAGGGTGTGGAAGGGGAGAGAAGTGACACATCTTGGGGATTGCAACCAATGTGACAAAACAATCTGTGTATAAATTGTTAAAAGAGAAACTAATTCGCCCTGCGAAGTTTCACCTAAAGCACAATAAAAAAATAATAATAATAGTAAATAGTATGTTTCGTTGTCCCTGGTACAATAAATGGTAGGTAGCTATTATCATTTCTTTTCAGGCCCTCAAATAGGAGAAAGTTATACAAATTTCTTATAAAAAGAAAGTGTTTCTTAGATATTTAAAATTATTTTAAAAGGTCATTTCTTTTGTGCAAATCACCTTAATTGTCTTAAAGCCCATCAGTTGATATTTCTACATACAACCAGGATCTTCGCATGCAATATGCTTTCCAGGGACTAGAGAATCAAAAAGCCCACCAAATCTGCAGCCCAACTTCCTCAAGAAAAGGGGAAAATCAAGTATACATTTTCAGTTATGCTTAAGGATACTTATGTAATGTTATGTACTATCTCCATGAGACTTGTAAATCTAGTTCAGAAAGAACACATCATATTCTAACAGTAATATGTTTTCAAAAATGTTCTTATTATGCAGTTTAAGCTACAACCTGCAGCTTGAGAAACAAAAAAACTTCCATGCTTCCGCATGTGAATGTTTCTTAACCCTAACACAGACGAAACAAAACCAAACCCATTGCCATCTTGTCGATTCCGACTCATAGCGACCCAATGAGTCAGAAAAACTGCCCTACGGGGTCTTCAAGGCTGTAATTGTTAAGAAACAGACTGTCACATCTTTCTCCTGAGTAGTGGCTAGGGGATTCCAACTGCCAAACTTTTGGTTAGCAGCTGAGCACTTTAACCACTGTACCACAAATGTTTTCATTTAATCAACAAATACTTACTGCTCACCTATCAAGTACGAGGCGTTATTCTAGGTGCTGAAGATATAGGAGGGAAGAGAATGGCCCTGTCATCATGGCGCTTATATTTTAGTGGTAGGAGACAAACATAAAACAAATATATATATATACAATATGCCAGAAATGATAAACGCAATTGAGAAAAGTAAAGACAGGAAAAATAGGGACTGTGAGGGTAGGGACACAACTTTAAATGGAGTGGCCAAGAGAGGCCTCACTAGGTGACAAATGAAGAAACACTTAAAGGAGATGAGGCAGCAAACTATGGGGATTTCTGGAAAAAGCATTCGAGGCACAGGAAGCAGGAAATACAATGACTCTGAGGCAGGAGGCTGCCAAATGTTTTTGAAGAACAGCAGAGCAGCCAGTGTGTGGCCAGTGGAATGAGTACTTGTAAACTCACAAATTCTAGAGAGAGAGAATACCTGGGGGAGAGGTATTCTACAACAGGAGAGCTTCAAAGAAAGAGGTGGCAGGAAAGCTAGACAAATATGCAAGGAAGTGATTATAATCATAGACCATGGAATCTAGGCTGAGTGAAAAGAGAAATGAGAATGTGTGAGATACATGACGGACTGTGAAAAAGTTGTTGGATCAATGAATGCAAGTCCCAGTGAAGGGATGAATAATTCCTGGAGCTGGGAGACTAGGGGGAATTGGAAGTTAGCTGTTAGAAGGAGCAGTTACTGGTAATGACAAAGTCTCTAGAGTATGACTGTGATGGTTAAGATTGTGTGTCAACTCGGCTGGGCCATGATTCTCCGTGTTTTAATGTAATCACTCCCATGATTGAATATACTGTGAGTAGCCAATCAGATGAAAGGGAGTCTCGTTGGGGGTGTGGCCCACATCTGTATATAAGCAGATGTTCTGGCTTTTTCCTCTCTCTGGATCCTGTGGCTGCCTCCTGTCGCCTCATCTCCCGTTCTTGGGACTTGAGCTGTCAGCTTATCTCCCCAACCTGGGATTTATCGATCTGCACAGCCTGTGAGTGGGAGCCCTGCTCTCCGACCTGCCGATCTTGGGCTTGCCAGCTTCTGCAGCTGTGTGACTTGGGGGAGGCCTCTACCCTGATCCATGGACTTGGGACGTTCTAGCCTCTACAGTCTCATGAGCTGTTTCCTTGATATAATCTCTCTCTATATACATATTTATACGCTTTACTGGTTTTGCTTCTCTAGAGAACCCAGCGTAAGACAATGACCATGGGAGTAAGTGGCTGAGGTAGAAAGACAAGACCAGGAAGTGAGAAGCCAGAGTACTGAAAAAACAAAGAATTAGGACAGACACAGAGGTGGAGAGTGAAGAGCCTAAAATCTTTAGGAAAGAGTGGAGGGGTGGAGGAGGAGAAAAGACCTGGGGGTGGTATAAGACAGCAACAAAGGAAGATAGTAGGTAATATAGTTCAATAAATCAAGCTACAGAGCTAGAAATTTTCAGGAAGGAGGGAAAAGAGTCTGGGAGTGACAAAGAAGAGCTACACATACTTCACCTATGGGCCCAGTGGTAAGCAGAGAAAACAACAACTACTTAAGAGGACTACCGGGGAAGCAATGCCTCCAGGGTGCGGCCAAGTTTCTGTTAGAGCCAGAAAGTGAAGGAACATTCTGAAACAGGTTAAGGTTATGAGAGACTTTACCAATAAGTGATAGTAAGTTCTAAAAAGTACAATGGAAAAGTTTTGAGAGTTGGGAGGTGTAGGAGAAGTGAGAGATTTAGGGATGAGCCATGTGGGGATGAAGAGTCTGGATGTTGAGAAATGACCTGGCAGTCTTGGGCTTCTTGGTGAAGGCCTTCCTGGTTTCAGCCCTTGCTGAAACAGGGATAAAGCATATAACCAGAGAAGAAGGCACAAAATCGTGTGTGCTGAAGGGTTTACAGGTCCAATGTCGGGAACTTAGGCCTATTTTTCTACACATTGCCCAAAGAAATGAAACAAAACAGGGACTGGATTAGTGCCTAAGATATCTGGCTAAAATACAAAAAAGCAGACAAAATGGTGAAGTTAAAAAGGGTAATGAAAATTAGAAAAAGAACATTAATTTATTTTGTCAAATCAACCAGTACACTGGCCTCTAATGATGATTTTTAGAAACACAGATACCACTAGAGATGTACCATGTGATAATGAATTATCTAATTATTTTCTCCTCAAAAAGCAAATCAAACATCACCAAATACAGCAGAAGAAGGCTTAAAGAAATAGGAGAAAGAATTTAGAATATAAAATAATAAAAAGACTTGAGTCAAACTAAAATAAACTATATCAAAAACAAAACCTCTTCTATCCAGTGTCCTGGCTTTTGAGGAAATATGGAAAAAATTAAACTAGTCCACTTAAATATATGCCCATGCTGGCCCATTAGAAAAAGCTAACAACAAATATATTCACCAAACATTAAAAGGATTATCAGAGCCAACAATACAAAGGTTATGAAGCAGTACTCTAAAATATAAGTTTTCCATAATTTATTAGATTATAATATGGTGTAAAATGGGATATTGTGTTTAATAAGTTCAAACTTGGTGTGCTTGATGCATAGCCAAGAATCTACCAGATTTTTAGATCAGAAAATTGATGTTCATAATTGTTTAAATGGTTCACTTCATACACTGTGCAAAGCTTTTAGAAAGAAAAGATTAAAAAAAAAAAAGCCAAAAGAAGATCTAAGCTGAATAAAAGAAATCAAACTACTCCCTCCTCTTTGGATACTGTAAGAAAGTGTAAACGTTTCTAACAGCAAATTTAAAACAAGACATTTTCTCATACATACTTTTGTGTGTTCATATGGAATGTCCACAGAAGGGTGGTAGCATACTATCGTCCTGCCATCAGATGTCAAAGCAAGCTCTACCTTGCTAAAAAAGAATATTTTAGAAACAATGTTATACTGTATTCATGGCAAAATGATTATTCTTAGAGCTAAAACCAATTAACCACAAATTCCTAAAGAGAAGATACTACATAACTAGACTGGCAAATCTGATACCCATATATCATAGGGGACAAATCAGACCATTCTAAATAATATGTCAGCTTAACTACCAAGAAAAACCCTTACACCAGCACTATTTTATCCAAAGTATTCCTTAAATTGTTTATGCTTTTACCCAACCAACCTCTTTGGAAGAGAATTTCATAAGTATTGTTAGAAATATTTTTCCGTGTCTGAAAAAAGACCTTTAAAAAGTTGCAAGAAGGACATTACATAGCTCAATTACTAAAGCTGAGGATCAGCAAAGGACAAAATCTCCCAGGTAAAGAATCATCTGAATTTTCAGTCATAAAGATGGAAGCTGAGCACTTTTTCTAAGCCAGCATTTCCCCAAACGCCTTTGGTAGAACAGTAGAACTTCAAGAAACTTTCCATAAAAAGGGTTCTGTGGTCAAATAAATTTGGAAACTACTGAATATTATCCCTTCCCTCCATTAATATCCCTCAGAAGAACACATTTTGGGCAAACTCCTCTGAATACTTCTTCCAGGAATATTCTGGCTGGATCTCACTCCTTTAGGTACCAAATAACTAAGCCGGTTTTCCAAAGACCCTGTCAACTGCTAACGTATTTAGATCCATATGCATTCTAAGAAGCAAAATTTCAGCTTTTATCTAACTTATGTGTTCTCTAGATGCCTGTAAAATTCAAGTTTCTAGGATTTCAAGGCCAATCAGACTTGAACCAGGCTGTCAATTAAATTATAAATTATATTTTAGCTAAAAGAGAATAGGAAGACACAAGGTTTGTTTTACCACGATTTTAAAATTGAATACTGTAATATGGCTACAATGAATATCATATCCATCAAATGATTTTTGGTGAAGGATGGAGTTTTACATAATGCAAAACATTAAAGACTCAATCTTACTAGGTTCAAAAAGTGTTACCTACTCCAATTTCACCATTATTTATCTTCTTGTTGTTGTTAGGTGGTGTCAAGTCAGTTCCGAATCATAGCAACCCTATGCACAGCAGAACAAAACACTGCCCGGTCCTGTGTCATCCTCACAATCGTTGCTATGCTTGTGCCCATTGTTGCAGCCACTGCGTCAATCCATCTCGTTGAGGGTCTTCCTCTTTTTCGCTGACCCTCTACTTTACCAAGCATAATATCCTTCTCCAGGGACTGATCCTTCCTGATAAAACGTTCAAAGTACGTGAGACTTAGTCTCACCATCCTTAATTCTAAGAATTCTGGTTGTACTTCTTCCAAGAGAGATTTGTTCATTCTTTCGGTAGTTCATGGTATATTCAATATTCTCCACCAACACCAGAATTCACAGGTGTCAATTCTTCGATCTTCCTTATTCATCATCCAGTTTTCACATGCATATGAGGCAATTGAAAACCCCACGGCTTGAGTCAGGCCCACCTTAGTCCTCAAGGTGACAGCTTTGTTTTTCAACACTTTAAAAAGGTCTTTTGCAGCAGATTTGCCCAATACAATGCGTCTTCTGATTTCCTGACTTGCCGTTTCCATGGGTGTTGATTGTGGATCCAAGTAAAATAAAATCCTTGACAACTTCAATCTTTCTGTTTATCAGGATGTTGCTTATTGGTCTACTTGTGAGGATTTCTGTTTTCTTTATGTTGAGGTATAACCCATACTTCAGGCTGTGGTCATTGACCTTCATCAGTAAGTGCTTCAAGTCCTCTTCATTTTCAGCAAGCAAGGTTGTGTCATCTACATAACGCAGGTTGTTAATGAGTCTTCCTCCTATCCTGATGCCCCGTTCTTCTTCATACAGTCCAGCTTCTTGGATTATTTGCTAGGCATATAGCACACCTTTCCTGACTTTAAAACATGCAGTATCCCCTTGCTCTGTTCAAAGGACTGCCTCTTGATCCATGTACAGGTTCCTCATGAGCACAATTAAGTGTTCCGGAATTCCCATTCTTCGCAATGTTATACATCATCGCTTATGATCCACACAGTTGAATGCCTGTGCATAGTTAATAAAACACAGGTAAATATCTTTCTGGTATTCCCGACTTTCAGCCAGGATCCATCTGACATCAGCAATGATATCCCTGGTTCCGCATCCTCTTCTAAATACGGCTTGAATTTTTGGCAGTTCCCTGTTGATATACTGCTGCAGGCACTTCTGAATGATCTTCAGCAAAATTTTGCTTGCGTGTGATATTAATGATATTGTTCAATCATTTCCACATTTGGTGGGATCACCTTTCTTGGGAACAGGCATATTATGGATCTCTTCCAGTTGGTTGGCCAGGTAGCAGTCTTCCAAATTTCTTGGCATAGACAAGTGAGCACTTCAGCACTGCATCCATTTGTGGCAACATCTTAATTGGTATTCTGTCAATTCCTGGAGCCTTGTTTTTTGCCAGTGCCTTCAGTGCAGCTTGGACTTCTTCCTTCAGTACCATCAGTTTCTGATCATATACTACCTCCTGAAACAGTTCAACATCGACCAATTCTTTTTGGTATATTCCATCCGTCTTCATTTGATGCTTCCTGCATAGTATATTTTCCCCATAGAATCCTTCACTATTGCAACTCGAGCCTTGAATTTTTTCTTCAGTTCTTTCAGCTTGAGAAATGTTGAGTGTGTTCTTCTCTTTTGTTTTTCTATCTCCAGGTCTTTGCACATGTCATCATAATAACTCACTTTGTCTTCTTGAGCCACCCCTTAAAATCTGTTCAGCTTTTACTTCACCATTTTTTCCTTTTGCTTTAGCTACTCGACGTTCAAGAGCAAGTTTCAGAGTCTCTTCTGACATCTACTTTAGTCTTTCTCTCGATTTTTTCTTTAAAAAATTTTTATTTTTGTGAAATCTGTGTAACAAAACATTTGTCATTTCCACCAGTTTTATTTGTATAATTCAGCGATGTTAATTACATTCACCTTGTTGAGCAATAACCACTATTCTATGATTCCAAATTTTTTCATCACCCTTAATAGAAACTTTACCACTTAAGCAGTATCCCCCCGCCCCCCCTCCATTTCCCCTTCAGACTCATCCCTTGTAACCACTGATGAACTTTGGTCTTCATATATTTGTCTGTTCTAGATATTTCATATAAGTCGAACCATACAGGATTTGTCCTTTTGCAGCTGATTTATTTCACTCAGCGTATTTTCAAGGTTCATCCATTATTGTGGCATGCATCAGGACTTCGTTTCTCTTTATGGCTGTGTAACATTCCACTGTGTCTGTATATCACATTTTGTTTATCCATTCACCTTTTTTGGACATTTTGGTTTTCACGTTTTGGCTACTTTGAAAAACGTTGCAATGAACATTGGTGTATATGTTTCTGTTTGCACTCCTGCTTTCACATTTTTTGGGTATATACCCAGGACTGGGATTACTGGGTCGTACGGTGGTTCTGGAAACATTACTGGCATAGTAGTTAAGTGTTACAGTTGCAAACCAAAAGGCCATTAGTTTGAATCCACCAAGCGCTCCTTGGAAACTCTATGAGGCAGTTCCACTTTATCCTACAGGGTCACTATGAGTCAGAATGGACTTGACGGCAACGGGTTTAGTTTTTTGGGTTTACAGTGGTTCTATGTTCAACTTTGTGAGAAACCACCAATCTGTTATTCACAGCAGCTGTACCATTTTACATTCCCATCAGCAATGAACAAGGGTTCCAGCTTCTCCACAATCTTGCCAACATCTATTGTTTTCCATTTTTTTTAATCATCCCCATTATAATGGGGGTGAGGTGCTATCTCACTGTCGTTTTCATTTGCATCTCCCTAATAGCTGATGAAGTTGAGCATCTTTTCGTGTGCTTGTTGGCCATTTGCATAGCCACTTTGAAGATATGTCTATTCAAGTCCTTCATTCATTTTTTTACTACGTTGTGCCCTAGGGTAAAATCATAACAAAGTTATAGTAAAGCAGGAGGAAAGATTTTATTTGGTGTATGTTCCAAGAGGCAAAGTGGGAAATGGACAAGCATGTCTGCCTGAGTCCAAGGAATGTTACAGAATCAGCAGTACATACTGACATTACAAATGGGTAAAATCATTAAAAGTTTCACCTTTTCACAGATTGGCTAAAAACTGCTAAATCACCATGATTCTACATTGTGAATTGTCTTTTTTTTTTTAATTGTGCTTTAGGTGAAAGTTAACAGCTCAGGTTAATCTCTCCTAAAAAATTTATAAACACATCACTATATGACCCTAGTTGTTATCCCTATAATGTGACCACACATTCCTCCTTTCCACCCCAGACTCCGTGTCCATTCAACCAGCTCCTGTCCCTTTCTGCCTTCTCATCTCACCTACAGACAGGAGGTACCCATTTAGTCTCGTGCATCTACTTGAACTAAGAAGCACAGTCTTCACAAGTATCATTTTATATCTTATAGTCCAGTCTATTCTTTGTTTGACGAGTTGGCTTCAGGGATGGTTTTAGTTCTGGGTTAATACAGAGTCCAGGTCTCATGTCTTCTGGGATTCCTCCAGTCTCAGTTAGACCATTAGATCTGGACTTTTTATTAGAATTTGAGTTCTGCACCTCACTTTTCCCTGCTCCATCAGGGACTCTCTGTTGTGTTTCCTGTCAGGGCGGTATTTGGTGGTAGCCGAGCACCATCTAGTTCTTCTGGTCTCAGGGTGATGGAGTCTCCGGTTATGTAGCCCCTTTTGTCTCTTGGGCTAATTATTTTCCTTTAGTCTTTCACGTTCTTCATTCTCCTTCGCTCCAAGAGGGTTGGGACCAATTGATGCAGCTTAGATGGCCACTCGCTAGCTTTTAAGACCCCAGACACCAGTCACCAAAGTGCGATGCAGAATGTTTTCTTAAGCTTTGTTATGCCAGTTGACCTAGATATCCCCTGAAACCATGGTCCCCAGATCCCCACCCCTGCTACACTGTCC